GCCTGGAGCAAGAGTACAAACACATGCAGCATGTCGACCCACATTCAAAGCCTTGGCTGTCGAGCTGCTAAACCTGTGAATGCACAACACCTTTTTCTATTGTGAGCTTGATCTTGATGGGGCCGCCTCCCAGTTTAGCGTTGAAAGAGGACTCGGCAGCGAAGCCTTCAGAAGACGTCTGAGTGAGGTTAATGATAAAACGCCATGGGTGTAACTATTCTGTTTGATGTGGGATCTGAGTAGAGGCGCGCAGGGTGAAGGAGGGTTGGATGTCTGATGAGTGTGTGGGCCACAGATTGGCGGAGTGAAGCCTTGAATGCACAGCAAAGGGATTCGCTACCTAATCTACAGAAAATCCTGCTGTGAAAAGGATTCTGTGTGTACCGCTCTCTCCTCTGAAGCCAATATTCGCGCTCGAATGCACACAGAAGCTGGCGAAGCAGTCTTTGCTCTCACTTTCTGTCTAATGCCAACACTCATAGATCATTATCTATAAAAAGAGGAATAGAAGCTGATTCGACACGGAAAGCAGAGGTGAGCCATGTTATCAGCCTGGATGCACCGGATGCACATGCATTTAGTATTCCTGCCTGCATATTGTAATGGTGGGACAGCTGCAGCTGTGGGACAGAAGGCCATAAAATCAGCTTCTCCTCCAGAGCTCCGACACTAAAGGGTGGAATGTGATTTGATAACAGGAAAGTATCCGTCTGTCTCTTTCCTCCTCCTCCCTTTTTTTACACATTGTTTAAAATCCTAAATCATGGAAAGTCATCGATTTACCAAAATCCTGGTTGACTTTAATAAAGAAAAAAGGGATGGAGATATCAGGAAAGGGATCACCTTTTCCTTGCCTCCATATACATACTATCAGAGTTTTATTTTTACAAAACAGCGATTTAATTACTTACTTTTTGGTGCTTTTTGAAGCGTATAGCGACTAAAGGGATAGATGCACATCGAGGTAGTTTTAAGTATATTTTTCGTGCAAAACTAAAGCGATAAATGAAAATCTGACGTCTTGCATATGCGTATTGCTTATGATTATGCTGATCTGACAGAATATAACAATATAACAATATATGGTTGTTTTATTATTGTCCCAGATTTATTTTTTCCTGTAAAGTATATTGAATTTACCTTTTAATTCAACATTGGTCTCTATAGAAACATATTTCCCTCCCAGTTCTGGACCACTTTCACATGTTGAATAACTTAAATCTTAATTGTATTAAACTTTCATGAACATTTCAGAGATAATATGAGATTACTTTATCTATTTTCATATTTTTATATGTGTCGCCACCGTAAAATAAACAAACTGTTCATATTTTTAAAGAGAGATTAAGATTATTTTGTCCAAACAGGCTTTGACCTCAGTTTGAACTGCATGTTTTATCTTTATTTTCCTCTGTTTAATCTGCTGTCTATCAATAAATTGTGATTGAAAAGCTTTACTTAAATAATCAAGCTTAGATTAGCTGTTTAATTGATCAGGCTATTTCCTCTGGTAAAAACTGCAGCTCAAGAATAAGAGGCCGTACATTTAAGCTGAACTCTAATAGATCTTTGGAAAAAGCTGATTGCGGCCGATTATTTCTGGAATTTCTTATTTACAGTCATTATCCGTTCCTTATGACTATAGGCGAGGGTCAGAACACAGGTGATCGATGGGTAAAGCTTTGTTTGTTGTGTTGTGAGGAATTATCTTCGAGTCAATAAATCGATGCTATCAGCTGGTTTTCCTTAGATAGAACATTTTGAACGGATCTGACTGGATGATCTGGTTGAATTGACTTTATAAGGTGACCTGAGATGACATGATGTGAATTAGAGCTATAAAAAATAAAATTGATTTGAATTGGAACCTCTTTCCCTTGGGGCGGGGCTTGGCCCTTACCCCGGGGGTTTGTTTCGGCCTTGGGGTTGCACTTAGGTTTTCTTTTGTTATTTGTTTATTTTTTGGTTTGTTTTTTTATTAATCAACTAATAACTGGGTAGCTAAAGGTTCCTTAAAGAAGGTTTTTTTACAAAATCAAACCAGGCGAAACTAAAAGTTTTTCAGTTCAAGAGTTCTGGGTAGAAGCAAGTTCATCGTTTTCCTTCAAAGACAAATACATCACCATTAAAAAATTATCCTTTTAAACAAATCTCCTCATCACTTGACGAGTGAGGCGATGCAGACATTGTGGAAGCTGTTTTGCTGTGACGGCCTCCGTATTGTTCGAGGGAGAGAAGTGGTGCCCCCCCCCACCCGGTTTGTGTCACTGTGCAGTCTGACCATTAGATGTTGCTGAAATTACAATCTGTAAAGCTAATTACTGGTCTGGTTTAAAGCTAAAGAACCAAACTGTCCTATATGTTACTCCTGTGACTGAAGTTGTTCTTTGGTCTGTTGGGGGTGATAGCAGCTTTAGCCTAAGGGAGAACCTACTCTGGGTTTAATCTAATCTACATCATTCAGATTATTATGGCTCATAAACCTCCAAAGGTCTGACTGATTTTATATAGCTATGAGGCAATCTAGCTATAGAGAACAATATAGGGCCAAAGAACAGATATTGAGCCCTGAACAGTGAAATTCAATTCAATTCAGTTTACTTCTATAGCACCAATTCACAATACATGTCACCTTAAGGCTCTTTCCAGTTCACCAGATCATCCAGTCAGTTTGATTCAAAGTGTTCTATCTAAGGAAAACTCATTGACTCTTTAGCATCCCCCCATGCTAAGCATGCTTGTAGCGACAGTGGAGAGGAAAAGCTCCCTTTGAACAGGAAGAAACCTCCAGCAGAACCAGGCTCAGTGTGAGCGGCCATCTGCTGAGGCCCACTGGGGTTCAAGGAGACAGAAGCAGACATAGAAAAAGAAGCATAGATACAAAAGGCAACTGTCAACCAGCTCCACAGGCGGCCCCGTCCAGGAAACACACAGCCAGGCAGACGAGCTCCGAGCCAGCTCCCATGTCAGAGGATGAAGAGAGCACATCCAGTTAGTCACAGTCAGAGAAACAGGACTACACAGGAAAACAATGATGTGTTATATTTATATATTTTATTGCACCAATTCACAACCACTGAACATCTCTAGGTCCTTTACAATGTGAACCATTCAGGTAGATTGGTAAAATAAGATTTATATGTGGAAGAAAAAAGACAAATTGATCCTATTTTTGAACCTAAGCACCAATAATTGATAAAAGTATTTCTGGAAGACAATAGAAATGAAAAAAAGCAGCAAATGTGATTATAGTAGTGATATTGTCAGGTCTAAGGATATTGCAGAGACAGAAGCAGAGATGGTTTAATAATGAAGTTGGTGGCAACAGAAGCTTCAATCCAGACTAAACAGGCAGGGAACTTAGAAACCAAACAAGGAGACACTTGGGGAGGAACATACATACAAAATATAGAGAATCCAGCAAAGAAGAACAGCAGAGGAGGTGTATATATGGGAGAAAGAAACAATGAATGGGTTAATCAGTTGATAAGGAGCAGGTGTGGACAGGAGCAAGTAAAAAGGAGCCATGGGTAAAGAAAAGGGACACTAGGGGGCACTAAAGACCACATTTACACTAGCCTTTTGAAACCATGTCGAGAACGTTCCGAGGACGTCAACCGTTCATCTGTGGCTCGGTTATCTGATAACGAGGAGCGCGTGAGCAGACTGCGTCATCTCGTATTTCGTGTCAGCTGACTCATTTCGCAGGAGTTCTGGCGTGTCAGGCTTAGTAATTCACAGATAGACAGATATTCACAGATCACAACACAAACCTCTTCTCAGCCTATTAACAAGAAAGGGCATCAAAGTAGCGTGGTGCGACATGGGATGATGCCGAGACCCAGAAGGATGCCTTCTTCACCTGACGTTCCAAAAATGACGAAAAATAAATAGTATAAACAAATATAATTCCTGAATGTTTTGTTTTCGTTATTCCAGCCTTGAGGGACGGGGCAAAAGGGGCCAAAGAATAACCAGGGACAAACAGGATCTAACTGCAAATAGGAAATAACTTAAATGAGCTAAAGGAAATAAAGCTAATTGATACAACTAAATCAAAGAGATAAGTGAAAGAAATAACAAGAGAGAATTAAAAAAATGATAGAAATCCGGACAAATACCGAATTAAAAAAGCAAAAAAGCAAAACTGAGAACCCAAAAAGAAAATTTAAACCGAACCATAAAATCCAGAAAGGACAGAACAGAAGCTGCAAAACGTTAGAGCCTTTTAAAATATAGCAACACATTCTTATACCAAAGAATTGTGGGTATGAAGGCTTTAATTTTATAGATAATTTCATTATTTAAAAAAAATAACTAGCAGTTATATGAAATTACAACTCGAAAACATCAATATCTAAGATTCTGCAGTCAAAAGCTCCCTTAAACTGTTTATTATCCTAATGATTAAATTATTAGCTGGGCTAATTGAACCAGGAAATGAGTTAGTCCAAGGACGAGCTGAGCAGTGAAGCCCGCAGGAGGACTGCTGAGATCATCGTATCTGCGCCACCAGCAAAAGCTCCAAAAACAAGCAGGAGGGGAAACAGCAATGTGCTTTAGCTTTTCTATGTGGGTGAGAAAGAAAAGTGGAAGAAGGCATTTTCTGCATAGAGCTGGAGGTCAGAGAGAGTTAATTTTCCTGCCGTGCTATCTGCTGGCTTCATTAGCAGTATTGACAGTTAAGTGATGAATTCATTGTTTTCTCTGGTTTGTCTGCAGCCATCATTTATAAGCTCTGCTCTGTTATCTCTCAGGGCCCTGCTCCTTGTTTTTCTCCTCACCTACATTTTTCTCCCTTTTTTTATCTCTTCTTCCACTCAACGCTGCTATCTATTCCTGTTCTTAATCTATCCTTCTCTTTAAATGTGATCATATTTCTGTGTTTTCCTGAAGTCAAAACATGACTTGTTTTAACAGAAATGTTTTCATGTGTGATTTTATGCGGCAATAATTTATTCAGCTAACGTTCGGCCTCTTGTCTGTTTTGTCTCTTTCAGGTTATTCCATGTTAGACGCTCTCTTCTCCCTTCGGACGTCACTCGCTCCTAAAATGCTTTGCTAAAGCTGGTAAAATGGAACCAAATCAACTGTTCAATGGATTTGGTCCCCTTCAACCAGCTGTAGCTGTGCATTGATCACTCCGAACATCCGACGGAACGCAGTGGAACCAAAGAAACGCCTTTGTACGCTTAAACTCATTGTCATGTAATTCTTCTTACCAGCGACTGTGAACATTTATCTCTTTTAAACAGATTACCTGAAACAATTTAGCTCATCTGAATGAAACAGCCAAGTCAGTAATTATAGTTATCTTAGCGTGCGCCGTGTTCGACTGCGTTAAGCTGCAGCTGTCTTGTCCTTTGGTGAATTAAATTGTTCTTTGGATATTTTTTATGGGTCCTGAAAGGTATTATTGAGAAGTAAAAGGACGTGAGAAAGGTGCTCAGGTTTGTTCCAAATATGTATGTGTGTTAATAAAGCCTCAAATAGTTCAAATTTATAAACCTTTCTCTTAAATATGTGTAAATAGATCAGTTTTCAATATATTGTGTCTATTTTAACATGAATAAAGTTTTTTTTTATTCAGTAATACATTTGGTTTTGTGGGATTGATAGGATGTAGTAACACGACTTTGCATGAAGAATCATTTTATAAGCAGTGATGTTAGATGAAGCTGTTTTTTTCTCTTACTGTTACAAATATAAGAAATAAGTTAAAACTCTGCTGTGGTCACCGTAGGAGCCAATTATTTTTTTGTTAATAATTAACTAAATGTTTTATATTTGTGGATAATCGAACTAAGTTGATTCTACTCTATTGTTTGATATCTGTTTTAAGATTATGTTATTTGGTTATTTAGTTATGTCCCTTTGTTTCTGGATAGTTATGATTAATTTGGGTGAATGAAGTTTATAAATAGGCAGTCAATGGTAGGACCAGCATGCATCTGGGTGGGCGGATGTTTTTTTTAATCAGCGCAAGAGAAGCAAGGAGGAAATGTTTGTCCTTTTCTGTTTGCTTGCCTGATGAGAAATAAACTAAGAACACTGAAGGAATTTACCTGGAACATTTTGTTCTTTTTTACTTGTCCTTTCTGCATCTGTAGCCATTGTGGATTTTTTCCCTTTTGTGTCATCAAAGCTGGACCACAACAGTCACATAAGAATGTATTTACGATAGAAAAGTGCTTTTCCTCCTTTTCTGTTTGTTTTAGGTTTGTTTTGGCTCTGATTAAACGTTTTAAT